CACCCCGGAAGAGGTTGGCATGGCAGGCGCCTTCTTCCCCCGTCCTCTCTGCTCCCCTGGGGCCAGCTTTCCTGCCAGAGGATCCTTCCACTCACTAACCTTCCCCCAGACCCAGGAGATTAAGTTGGCTTGACCTCAATTTAATCAGATCCCTCCTCTGTGCCGACACTCTCCACCCCTGGCCCCACATACACAGCTCCCCGTGCCCTGTCCTGTTTCTCCAGACAGTCTGTGACCAGCTCAAGGGCAGGCCCACGTGTCCCCATAGGACCTCCCCCAGGGAAGAATACAGATTAGGTGTGAATGAACAAGCAAATGAATAGTTAACATTACTGAGTGAATTACAAATTGCCAGGCACTATGCCCAGTGCTTTATGGGTATCTCATTTACTGCTCACTATGCCTTATGGGGAAGGTGCTTTCATTTAACAGATGAGGAAACTGTGGCTCAGGGGTATTAGGCATTGGCTCAGCATCTAGGCAGGCTTCCCCGGTGGCTCAGTGGTAAAAGAACCCACCTGCAATGCAGGAGACATGGTTTGAGCCCTGGGTCAGGAAGATCTCTTGGAGCAGGAAATGAAACCCACTCCACTATTCTTGCCTGGCTACAGACCATGGGGTCACCAAGAGCTAGACAAGACTGAGCGACCAAGCACACATGCACACAAGCATCCAGGCAGTCAGACTCCAGAGCCAGTGCTCTTACATTCAAGTGATGCGTGGTCCTCGGTGAACTCCCTCCATAAGGGCTTCTGCCCCCAATCTCTCTAAGACTGGAGTAGGGAGAAAGCTCAGAAGTACTTGGTCCCCTGGGAGGAGGAAGGCAGTAATCCTTCCATATCTCTTGGGCCTGCCCATCTGCTCCAGGACAACCCAACCCAGGAAGAGGGTTAATCTGGGGGGGGAGGGTGTTGGGACCAAAGAAAAGAGGATACAGCAAGACCAACATTGCTATTGTCTTCAGCCAGGCTCTGGCCACTGGGGCACAGGTTCTCCTCCGAGAAGAAGGGGTTGGAAGCCTCGAGACTAAATCCTACCCAAATTCCACTATGTTTCTCCCTGAAGACACCCAACACCTGACCAGTAAATGCTAACATACCTCCACTGACAAGGAGCTCCCTACCATTCCAACCCAGGAAAGATCTCAACAAGCTTGTCCTTCCCTTAGCTGAAACTCACCTCCTTGGGGACATCAGGAGGAGCCCAGTCTTTTGAGAGAAACCAACAGACCCAACCTGAGAGCATCTTCTTGACTCTGTCAGTGCCAGTGATGCTCCCCTTTCCTCTAAGATAGATCCCTTAGATGGAACCTGCCTCCTGCGGCTTCATAATGCCTCCTTTCCTTTCCCTCTTCTTGTCGCTCCAAAACTCTCTAGACTCAGCACCACTGTCTTAACTTTGGAAAGCCCTCTTCTTGGGTTTCCTGATTCCCTCAGTCCCCAGAGAAGGCGGAGACTGGTTGGGAATGTTTCCCGTCTCTCTCTGGAGCACCAGAGAGGTGGGATGATTTGCCCAAAGGCCCACAGGGAAGGGTTGCCTTCCAGGCAGAAGAAGCAGCAAGTGCAAAGGCCCTGAGATAGGCATGTGCCCACAGGGAGTGGCTGCAATGGAGTGAGCAGAGGCTAGGATGGGGCAGAAGGTCAGAGCACCACTGGGGCCAGACTGTGTAGCGCTTTCATAGGCCACCGTGAGGGACAGACTTGAAGCCTGTGAAATTTAGGGAGCCATCCTTTTTGGAAAAATCAAAATTACAAATAAGTGTGACTTAGGACCTTGGAAGGAGCTTGCACAAGTGAGGGGCCTTGTAAATGCATCCTTGACTGGCGAGAATGGTAGCTTTTGCCTGGAGTAAGAGGGAGCCATAGGACAGTTTGGAGCAGAGGAGAAACCTGACCTAATTAATCTTTGAATAGGATCCTCAAAGGAGACCAAACCAGTTAATCCTAAAAGAAATCAACCCTGAATATTCACTGGAAGGACTGATGCTGAAGCTGAAGCTCCAATACTCTGGCCACTTGATGCAAAGAGCCAACTCATTGGAAAAGACCCTGATGCTGGGAAAGATTGAAGGCAGGAGGAGAAGGGGATGACAGAGGATGAGATGATTGGATGGCATCACCGACTCAACAGACATGAGTCTGAGCAAACTCCAGGAGATGGTGAAGGACAGGGAAGCCTAGCATGCTGCCGTCCATGGGGTCGCAAAGAGTTAGACACAACTGAGAGACTGAACAACAACAAGGATCCTCCTGGCTGCAGAGTGGGACAAGAGCTGAGGTGGAGGGTGGGCTGGAGACGAATTAGGACTCAAATGAGCAACCTGGACTGGGCAGTTGACTGAAGAATCAGATTCCAGAGATGGAACCAATGAGATGTGCTGATCGGTAGGGTGGGAGGCGAGAGAAGAAAGTCAGAAGGATTGACCCTGAAGTTTTAGGCCTAATCCAGTTATCTCCAACCAGGGTGAGGAAGGAGAATGATCATGGAGACGACCTCATACACTCAGGCCTGCAGCTTATCTCTGATTTTTCCCAACCTCCCTCTCTCTGAAAGGAGGCTGAGGATGAGCTTTCATTCCTCCCACTTCACAAAGAAAACAATAATCAGGATACTCAGAGAGGTACAACACCTTGCTCAAGGTCACACAGCCAGGAAATGGCAGAATCTGAAGCCCAGGTTTTACCGACTCCAAAATCAGTATCTGTTCTCATATACCAGGAAAAGCAAGGTTTGGGGACCCTAGTAGCCTTTCAAGTAGGAGATGCAGTTCCTACAGATGGGTGCCTTCCAGCCACCACAGGGTCTGCTAGGGCCACTTCACAGCTACACCCAAAAAAAAAACCTGCAAAGAAAATTCTCAGCATCCTACACCCTCCTGACCCTGTTTCTGATCCACTGGCTGGGCCATCTCAGCTGCAATCCTGGGGAAATGTTTTTGGCATCACTTAAGTTTTCTTAACTCATCGACAAAGAAATGACTGCCTCTATCCATTTTACATATTTTCTAAAGTGTGTATTAGGATGCAAAGCAGGCTTCTCTGATTTAGAGAAAACCTGAGATTCCTGGAATTTAACCTTCTAACAGATTTACCCCCTAAACACAATTCATGGCATTTAAAACTGATAGGAATTGCTGGTCCTGGATGCATCCACTCAACAGGTTTAGTCTCCAAATGAGTCCCCCACTGTCACAATAATCCATTTGGCTGGGATTGATATTTTTATTATTATCATTATGGATTTGAAAGGCCTGAGCTCGTCATTTGGGATGTTCAGTTCTACCTAGAGTGGCTCCTGACACTTGGTGCATCCACTCCTCGCTTGGAGCCTTGACTTGTGAATCTTTCACTATCTCGAGGCTTTGTCCTTTTCAAAACACACCTCTTAAACAGCAGAAACAGAATCTGACAGGCCAAGATGCATAGCCTTTGTCCTCCCTAGCCCTCCCTCAGCCCCCTGCTCCTGGAAAATCCTGCCAGCAGAAGCAGATATTTGATCCGGCATAGAAGTGATAATGTTACACCGTCCAGATGTTCAACTCACCGGACTGAGGGCTCAGGTTACAGACAGTCAGGGCTGTTCTAGCCTCATGCCCACCCCACTCTCCCACCCGCAAGAATCAGGATCAGTGACCCACATGGCCAACTGAGACGGAGTACACAGAACCTGCAGGGGTTCGGGGGCTCACTGAAATGACCGCATTAGAGTCTTCAAACCAGTGACCTAGAAGGCAGGTATTCTCAAAGCCCTCTAGAGCCTTTCAGAATGGATGATGCCCTCCCCCAGTCCTCAAACACCTTTATCTCCTTGCCCACTAGGACCCACTTCCTTTCCTTGTCAGTAGTTTAAAGAGAGTCTGGATGGAGCCTAGAAAACACTTGACTAAGAGAAACAGAACAAATGGTGATCAATGTGGCTAGAATTTCCAGGCCACCAGAATGTGTGCCTGATTTCTTCCCCAAATAAACCGGGGCTGCACTTTGCTGCTTAGGGAGGTTGGGAAAGGAAGGTTACAAATTCAACATCAAAAAAATTTTTTTTTCTTTCCTGTTCCCAGAATAAGGTTATGCCTAAGAGACATACTACTGGGGAAGGGGAGGTAATGAAGGCCCACACTGTGTCCACAGAAATATAGCAAAACCCTCACCCTTTCTTATTTGAAAGACCCCTTGCCCCTTGTCCAGGGAGTTAATGAAAACTGCACACATGACTAAAACTTGTGCTAGTCACTGCAGGTAATTCGATCCCAAGACCAAAACCAGGCTGTCTCAAACTGTATTTAGCCCAGCCTAACCTGAGGACTTCAGGGCTCCTTTAGCAGGACTGTGGGAGATGCTGGCTGTGTGAGTGGTGGCAACCCTGGTCAGAAAATGGCACGGAGAATGGTCAGCACCTGCTGACACTCTCCTCCCGTGAAGGAGTGGCTGCATGCAGATACCAGGCTCCTGTTCCATACAGGAATTCCTAGGGCAGAACTGGAGGGGCCACCCTTCTCACATCACAGTCAGGGGGACTGAGGCCTGGAGAGGAGAGGTCGTCCCAGGGATGACTTCTCCCCTCATCATGAAGCCACCTCCCACTTTCGATGGTCAGGGCTGCAAGGGGTCCTTCCAAGGTCACCCAACACCCATAGGTGGCTGATGAGGACAGCAGAGGTCCCGGAATTCCCCAAGGCACGGGGAACAGGATGGGCAGCCTTTCAAACAGCTCTCAATCCACAGAAATGCCAAGAAACCTCATCCTCCAAGGGCAGCGGTTTCCAGACTTTTGTATTTTTAGCAGCAGAAGCCATCCTTCAAACAAAACCTTATGCAAAACCTCAAGCTACAAAACAGACGGAGGGGCCGCTCTCCTAAGCGAAGCCTGGACCAAGCCCCAAGCTCCCCCTCCTGCACCCACGACTCCTTCCACAGGGCCCTCGGTGGAGCTTGGTCCAAAACCCCAGCCTTAGGGGCCTGGTCACCCTGAAGCTGAAGCAGCCAGACAGGGTGGGCTCTTACTTAAGACCCCTGGAGGGCGTGGCTGGTCTCTGAGACCTGGACGACTTCGTTCTCCACCAGGGCCTGGCCCCCGTCCCCATGGAGCTGTCTCATGCGCAGGTTGATAGAGCCGTAGGTCTTCCTGGAGCCCCTGCCCGGGACGAAGGTGGGCCGGCGGTACAGCTCGCCCTTGCACAGGGAGACCATCAGCAGCACGGACAAGAGCATGCCGCCCACCGTGAGCAGCCCCAGGCCCGCGATGATGCACTTGTCCAGGTGTGAGCCCAGGCGTGCATAGTACATCTCCAGCCGTTCCATCTCCCGCGCTGACACCGTGTCCGGGTTGACGCGAGCCTCGCGGGGGATGGCGTACGCAGTCACCACCAGGAGGATCCCGCTCACCAGGAAAACCAGAGCAGACACGAAGCCATAATCCACCGGGCGGCTCACGGGCTCCAGGCCTGGCCCCTCTTCTGAATGCAGGGACACGTCGTCTCTCTGGGATCGGGGCCGTGAGGGGCCAAGGCCCCCAGGAGGGCTGGGGGAGCGGCCTGGTCTGGTGTCCCCAGGGTTCTGGAAATGGGTCTCATGTTCCTCGGAAGAGAAGCAGGCGTTCTCCACACCCTCCCTGGGTGGGGCTGCTGGACCCAGAGATGCTGGTCTCCTTGGGGCCTGGGGCCCATTGCTCAGTGTCTTCAACTCCAGACCAGGGGGAGATGCCATTGGGAAGGCGGACCCCAGCTCATCCCTTGGCCCCTTGGTAGCTAGAAGAGAAAACAGAAAAGTGGAATTTAGCAAACCTCTACTACTGACAGCCTGCTGGCACCAGACATCACACAAGGCCTGCTGCTAGGCATGTGGGTTTTGGGCAATGCCCGTATCCTCTCTGGGCCTCAGCTTCCCCGTTTATTGAATGACAGCAATACTACTACTTCCTACTTAAAAGGGCTGACGTGAGCATTGAGATAATCCACATAAAGTCCTCAGGATAGTAAATTCTCAGTAAGTACTGGCAATGAGCTATTATTATGATGGAGGGAATTTAAATAGGGTAGATATCAGGTTCTAATCCCAGCATCACCACTTGAGCTTGGGCAAGTGAGATGATCTTTCCAGACTCAATTTTATGATCTGTTAAGTGGGAATAAGCAAAATGCTTCCCTCGTAGGGTTGATGTGAGGATTCTATTTCATAAAATAAGGTATGTAAGGCCCCCACCAGTTCAATTAATGGACACTTGTGATGAAATGAGGATAGCTGGGGGCAGGGGAAGGGGAGATGAAGATGGTTGTAAGAACAAAGAGGAGAAAGTTAGGGTAGCTTCTAGGAGTTGGTGGCATTTGAGCCAAATCTCAGAGGATAAGCGGGAAATCCCCCAGCAGCACGAGGGGACAAGGGCATTTTGGAGAGGAAGAGGGGTTGCCTTGGAGGTCAGCTGGGACTAGCTCTCTTAAATTCTCTGAAAACCAAGCCAAGGAGCCAGGGAGGCAAGGCTTTGGGGCTGGGAGGGTTAACATCCCCCTGGGTTTTGGAAAGCTCTCTCTGGCTGCTGCATGGAGGACAGTCAGGATGGGAAGGAGGACAGTGGAGGCCAGGGGACCAGAGAAGAACCCAGTGTGGTCAGGGGAAGCATAGAGGCTGAGAGGGCAAAGAGGAAGGAGAAGCACATTTGAGAGCCATGACTGAGGTCAAGGCCAAATGCCTTTATATAAATAGAAAATGGAAGGACCTGGATGAGGGTGACAGAAGGGGGAGCTGGGAAAGGACAGGGAAGGGGGGCTCTCTGCTCAAAGAGCAGACACCCCACCCAAGTACCTGAGCACCTACCAACACAGACAGACAGCACATGCGCCAAAAGATACCAGCTTACAGCCCATGGGCCATATTTGGCTCATAGGAGTTTTGCTTTTTCATGTTTCTGGCCTGTTTTTTTTTTTTTTTTAAGCAGTTGCCAATATATAAAAAGCAAAAGATTCTACACTTTAAACCTTAGATGCCTGGCTTCTCTTGAAAAATGGATGAGCCTGACGACCCTAGCCCCCTTTCCCTCACAGCCATACAGCGGGAGCTGATGATGGAGTCTCCTTCAAGCAGATCTTGTGTGCCCCCAGCAGGCCCCTCCTGGCATGTAGAACTCCTGACCACATGTGCCCATGCACACCCACACCCTGTGTGTACAGACACCCCAGACCCAAGTCCACACACAGCACAAAGACCCCCAGGTGCAGAGTGCCTTACATGCCCTAGGGTGTCTACACACACATACACAGGATTCTAGACCTTTCTCTGCCTCCCTGTGCCTGAGTTTATTCTCCAAAGCTCCCTGCTTCAGTGTGTGTGTATGTGGGAAAGAGAGAGGATATGAGCAAATGAATGAAGTGAAAATGAATAAAATGAATGAATGAATGAAATTCAAAGAGCCTCTGAGGGAAAGCACGTTTTTCGATCTTACTGATCTTCCATCCAACATGGACTTGCATCAGACACCTCCTCTTAGCACAGACAGGGCCTTTCATCTGAGTACAAAGCCTGTTTCTACTTACAACCCATCTCGATCACCACGTCCCTTCTGCCTGAGTTCCAATTTAAAAAATGTTTACTGAGCACCTACACTCTCTAGTGGGTCCCAGTGTGGACACTTCACTCAGGAGTACCTTGCATAACTCTCACAAGCCCCATGAGCAGGTGTTACTATCTCCATTTTACAAAATGGAGCCAAGATCCCATGGCATACATGTGGGGGTCAGGAGGCGAATACAGGTTCCCCAAGAATTGTTATCACCTAAAAGCCTAATGACCCACACGCTATCATGCCAGTGGCATCATCTGGCCCTCCTTCCCTGGTCTTCCAGGCCACACTTGTAGACTCTCTACTTTACCCATGAGCAGCTTGAGGGCAGGGATATGTCTGGGCCCACAGCCCCCTGCACAAGGCTTGGAACACAGCCAGTCCTCAGGAATGGTTTCACAACCTGCTCAGGCAGACAATCCTTCCCACACAATAGGATGGGGAATCCTATTCCCGGCCAGGCTCTGGCCAAACTGCTCCCACTTTCCAGTAAACGAAGAGGAGAGGCGTGTTCATTGGCTTTTCTTTTTTTTACTTTTGGCACCAAATGCATTTTCCTGAGTGCCCAGCCAGTAACAGGGACCGGCAGTGACCACTCCTGCCCAGTTGGTGTCCAGAAGTGGTCCCCCACCCAGGTCTTCAGCATCTTCTCTAGAACTCAGCCCCTGGAGGAGCCCAGGAACCCTCTTCCCAGACCAGCACATTGATGCCTCCATATCTCAGAAGAAACGCAGGACACTCAGATTCTTGGAGCAGGGCTCTTTCACCTGGCAGGAAGGCAAAACTTTTTCCTTAGGATGCCAGCAGAGTTAGGAAGAGGGTGGAGGAAAAGAAGATTCCTTCTTACACAGAGTTGCTATGTCTCTGACACACAGGTTCAGAGACACCTACGAGTTACAAGGGCATGCCCAGTCAATTACTCGAAACATAAGCAGAAACAGACAAGCTGACAATGATGCTGGTTGTCCACTGCTCGCACCCCGCAGCTGTACCAGTTACACTCCAATGTCATTTGCAGTCCAACATGACTGCAAAGGCACACCTTGGTCCCACACTCAGACCCCCAGGGGTCTTTTCTATATGCAGCATCCACAGACACTGGAAGCCACACAATACAACTAGAAGTCCATACACCACATTGGTATCCATGCCCCAAGAAAGGACAGAGCTGGTCACAAACACACACGCGCGCGCGCACCCCAAGAAAGGATAGAGTTGGTCACACATACACAGTTTACTACTCTCAGGACTGCTAAGATCCACCAAGATCCGCCCAAGTCCAGCACCTCACGCAGTGGCGTGCACTAACACGCGGGGAAAACAGACGCACAGCGGGCGTGGGTAAGCTTCACAAAACCCAGTCGACAGACACACGCACGAGTTGTACACAAAGCCTCGGGCGCTCAGATACGTCCACGCTGTGATACCCAAAGTTCCGAACAGAAAGATCCAGCACCCCGGCTGCCCGCTGCACCCACGCGCCCGCCACCCCGCAGCTCATACGCCCCCCCCCCCCCCCCCCGCTCCTGCCCTTGACCACAAACGCCGTTGGGCCGGGCCAGGCCGGACGGGGCCGAGCGGCGCAGGGAGCCAGGCGGCCAGGCGGCCCAGGGAGGCCGGGATCTGCGAGGACCCGCGTGCGCCCAGGTTCCCTCGCCGCGTGTCCTTCGGCCGGGCCGCGAGGTCAGGCTAGCTCTCCTCAGTCGCCCCTCTCCGCCTCGGGTCCTCGGCCTCCCGCCGCCCGCAGCAGTTCCCTCTTGGCGTGCGTACCTGTGCCGAGCCTCCCTCCTCACCTCCCCACCTCCCCAAGCGGGAGGCGAGGGCGCCGAGCCGCCGCCGGGCAACGGGGAGGGCGCGTCCTCCCCGGGCGCCCGCCCGCCTTCTTCCCGCAGCCGGCGTTGGTGCTGCGGCGCAGCCCAGGGGGAGAGCGGGCCCGGCCGCCGCCTCCTCTTCTCCCCCCTCCGCTCCCGCCCCCTTCCCAGCCGGGCCCGGCCCGGAGCCGCGGCCGAGGCGCACGTACCTGCTCGCGCCGCGCGGGGCCGTACGGCGGCGGCCGGGACCGCCAGGGAGGCTCCGGGGAAGGAGGCACGGGGAAGGGGCGGGAGCCGGGGATCGCCTAGCGCCGCGGCTCGAGCTCCGCCCGCGGCCGGCGAGGGCGCCGGGAGTCAGCTCCGGGAGGCACTGGGAGGCGGGTAACAGACCGGGGCGAGGGTGGGGGGACGCGACTCCATCCTCCTCCGTTTCCCTCTGGGGCAGCTCTGGTTCCCCAGCACCTGGGTACCCAGAACCGAAGCCTTCAGCCGGCCCGGGCGCAGGGGCGGGGCGCAGGGTGGGTGCTGAAGAAGACCCCTCCCTCGGCCGCTGGCCTCGCCCCTCGTCTGGGGAGCCCCTACTGCGCCGGGTCCCCACGCTTACTCCGCTTCTCAGCCCCTCCCACACACGCAGCCCGCAGAAGGGACTCGGGGTCCTCTCCGAGGTCCTCAGGGCGGGATGCTCTTCTCCGGCGCGTGCGGCTCCGTGACTCGAGGGCGCCACCTGAAGGCGGAAAGAAAGCCTCTGATGAACCAGCCCCTGTGGTGCCCCCTCCCCTGGGAAGCCCACCGGGCAAACCCACCGGCTCCCTCGCCCCAGGGGCCCTTCCAGCTGTGCTCTCTTGGCCTGTATTATTGTCCTTATCTCTGAGAGTTGTGGTTTTCAGTGAGTGCCAGCCTTCTTCCTCAGACTGGCAGGTCCTGGAGGACAGGGCCACTGACCGACGCTCCCAGGGCCCAGCGTGGGAGTAGGTGGACAGGTGGTAGTGGGACACATTTCACCGTTTCTTTCCTTCTGGGGCTCAGACTAAGGTGAATTAAATTTCACTTCACTTCAATTAAATGAAATGCCTAGTGCCCTAAAGTTAAGGAGACACTCCCCCTTTGGGAGCCCAGGCCAAGCCCAGAGAGGAGTTGGAGCTGAGATCACCGGCTTTCTGGAAATCTCTGTGACCAGCTCTCTCTGGTGGCCTCAGGTGGAATCCTCCCACCTCTCTGAGCCTCAGTATTTGCCTCTGCCAATGGGATCATGAGAATGCAGACTCCAGGAGCTTTGGAGGAGTCAGCAGAGGTAAACCATCCGGAAGTAGAGGCACTGTCCTGAGTCCTCAGCCGCGTCATGG